GCCTTGTTCTTTGCCAGTTCCTTCAGTGCACCTTGGACTTCCTCCTTCAGTATCATTGGCTCTTGATCATACGCTACCTCTTGAAACGGTTGAACATTAATCATTTCCTTTTGGTACAGTGACTCTTTGTATTCCTTCCATCTTCTCTTGATGCTTTCTGCATCATTTCAATAATTTCCCCAGAGAATCTTTCAGTAACGAAAGTCGAGGCTTGAATTTTTTCTTCAGTTCCCCTAGCTTGAGAAGTGCTGAGCGTGTTCCTCATTTTTGGTTTTCTGACTCCAGATCTTTGCACATTTTGTTGTAATATTTGGCTTTATCTTCTTGAGCTGATATTTGAAATTTTCTGTTCATTTCAGCTCACTAATGCCTAAGATATCGATCGATGTTTATGTGTTCCGTTTCATTTTAGACAATTCCTAATTTTCCTAGATTCATACTTTGTACATTCCATGTTCTGATTATTAACGGATGTTCACAGCTGTTGCTCTTCATTTTGAGTTGTGCTCCATCAACAAATTAAGGTCCCGCGGGCTTTACTCCCACGGGCTTTACTGCATTCGCATCATCATGGTCAACTCTACTTTGATGAGGCAGCTCTTCTTCTCCAGTCAGCATTTTGAGTGCCTCCCAATCTGAGGGGCTCATTTTCTGGCACTGTATCTGACAGTGTTTCTCTGCTATTCATAAGGTTTTCAGTGACTAAATATTCAGAAGTACTTTGTCACTCCTTCTTCCTAATCTGTCTTTGTCTGGAAGCTCATCTGAAACCTGTCCACCATGGGTGACTCTGCTGGTATTTAAAATACGCGTGGCAGAGCTTCCAGAATCACAGCAACTCACAAGCCACCATAGTGTGATAAAGTGACAGACGAGTGGTGGTTTCACTTACAGAAATATGGACTTTAGACCTGCTTCCCCTTCTTTTCCACTAAAGCCTTCATCTCTAAGAGTCTAATCCTTTCTCTTCCTTGAGATGCCTCTGAGTGGACAGTGGAGGTCTCTGTCCCCTGGGCAGGTTGGCATATGCCAGCATGCCTCTACCCTTCTGTGACTGTATTTCCTGCACTGAGCCTGCAGACTCCCATTCTTCCTATGTGCTCCACCCTTACCCAGAAGGCTCTCTGGGCCCCCAGGAGACTGGTAAATGGCGACTTACTCGGAGCCCACAAATTCAACACTGACTTTTCACAGGCACCGTGCCTGCTCCCCACAGACCTTCATGGGGAAAGTGGACCAACGTCTCTGCTTTTTCTTTCTGTTCAACCAACTGCATCTTCTTCCCTTCCTTCTGACAAGGGATTTTGACTTAAGCCTTGGGGGCTTAAGTCACTCTGTTCTCCTCCATTCTTCTCACTGCTGTTCTTCTCCATTCCCTATTTGATTCTCTCATGCGGGAGGGAAGGATGTTTATTTCCCATCGTGTTTGGAAGGGTGTTTAACCACCTTGCTCTCCGTTTTCTCCAGCTTCTTTAGCCTAGAAAGAGGACAGGGTTCTAGAGAAGAAACATGGCATCACTGTAAAGTCATGAGCTAGGGAGTAATGTCAACCTTTTCTGATGTCCCCTTGTTGACCATCTTGATCGCACTCTCTGCCTGGATTGGAACTCCTTGCTTTTGTGCCCCGTCCCCATAGCTCCCTGAGAAACGGCAGGGCCTGCTTTGTTTATGTCTGTGTCTGTAAACTTTTGTAAAGCGGAAGGTCAGTTAGAAAGAGGGAGACTCCCCCCACAAGGAGATGGATTTGTACAATGACAGCAGCAGCAGCAGACTCCAGTGTAGCAATTGTGAGGCTGGCACAGCACCAGGCGGTGTTTCATTCTGTTGTACGTAGGGTTGTTATAGGGGTTGGAACCAACTTGATGACACCTAACAACTGTAAAGCCTAGGACTTGTGACCAAGCAGGACCAGGAGGACTAGGTTTGACTATAAGGTTAATGTTAGTTTCAGTCTAGAGACCATGACAATGGGACAACCATTAGAAAGGGGCTTTGTGTGTGTTTCAGGGACTGTGCCGAGTGCTTCGCCTGCCCTATTTTATGATTTTGCCAGCCCTTTGAAGAGGGCACAGTACGGTTATTAGTCCTGTCATAACTAGGTGGGGTAACTGAGGTCCTAAAACGAAATCACTGCTGCCCAGTCAGTTGTGACTTCAGTGCCCCTATGGTACAGCATAGTGCTGCCCCATAGTGTTCGAGACTGGACTCCTTCTGGAAGCTGTGGAGCGCATGGTGGTTCAAACCAATGATCTTTTGCTGAGCTGACTGGAAAGGGGACATGAAGGACGGGGAAGAGGTGAGGGGGCTGATGGCTGTCGTCAGGCGACGTTTGTGCTCACTCAGTGTTGCTCCTTCGTTGGGGGCAGTTGTACTATCCTGCTGTCATTGAATGTTGGGATGTCTGGTCCCTGCTGTCCTGCTTGGTCCTACCTTCCCTTTTCCGGGGTCCTTCTGTGCCCCCGCTGGTCTCTGCCCCATGATATGAGTGCCCCTCATAGGCACTTCTGGGTGGGTTGTAGCTGCTCAGCCTTTCTCCCTCCTTCATGAACGTTCTTGATCTCTCCTTGCAGGGCACGGAGCACCCTGTGGCCACCGTCAGCAGCTCTGAGTTGGAGAAGGCCTACCTGGCGTACTGCATGCCGGGCTCAGACGCCCAGGCAGCCACTCTTCAGTTCCAGGCCGGAAAGCATGAGTACGAGTTAGATTTCAAAGGTATTTCTGCCCCGCCTGCACCCCTGTTAATGTACATGGGTAAACACTTGACTCCTAATGGGCTCAACTGCTAACTGATGCCATCCAGAGTAGCTGCAGAAGAAAGGTCTGGTTATCTACTTCCATGGAACATAGTTCTACTCTGACCCATATGGGGTGGGGGCAGGATACCTGGGAGGACAAGTCCTGTTAGGACTCTGTCTGAGGAGGTAACTAACCTGGAATTGCCCCAGTGAAGCTGAGTCTCATGACTCATTGTTAGTCATCAGGCCAGTAAGGATCCAGCTGAGGTAGTTCCGGGAGCAGTGAACCTAGGAGAGGCTATGGGCTCGTCATCAGAACATGGCAGACACCAGGTTAAAGATACGTTTAACCTTTTAATTTTTATTTATTTTTTTTTACATTTAACTTTTTATTGTGTATTGGATCAAGGTTAACAGATCTTCAGATTTACATTAGACAATTTGTACATATTTTATGTCATTGATTTCAGTCCCTTCAGTGTAACATCACATATCCCACTTCTCCTTGGGTTCCGTTTCCATTCTTCCTCCTTTTCTAATCCGTTTGAGATTTGTCCTTGGGTGAATGCTGCCCTTTTAATATCAAATGGTTGATTATTCTAAGGTGTTCATACCTCCCTAGTGGTATTCTTCACTCTGTAGACCTTTCCAGACCTTCCCAGACCTCAAGAGTCACTAAAGGCCATTGTCTCAGGGCTTCCACCAGTTTCTCTCCAACAAGTAAAACTTGTCTTTTATATGATTTTGAGTTTTGTTCCATATTTTTCTCCCACTCTATCCATGACCTTCTAATGTGATTCCTTTCAGAGCAGTTGATAGTGGTAGCCAGGCACTAATTAATCTTTCTGGTCTCAGGGTCTTGAGGCAGAGGTTTGTGTGGCTGGTTAGTCTGCTGGACTCTAGTACTCCCAGGCATCTGGGATTGCGTCACTCTCCTTTGCTGAGGACCAGGCTCAGGAGTGTTCTTGATGAACACTTGGTTGCCGCATAGTAACCCTCAGGACACCCTCTTTTCCTGTCATGTGCTTATTTGCAAGCTTGTGGGGTCACAGTGGTTAATACAAAAAGGTTTTTTAAACGGGAAGAAATTGTTTTTGTAATTTAAGTGCAGAAAGTAAAAGTAGACAGGTTTTGCTGGTGGGGTCCGTGAATGTTCACCTTGATGGTGTTTACCACTGATCTCAATGCTCAGCACGGAAACATGAATGCTGGACTGGGTGATGAGGGTTCAGAAAAGGTGAGATGAGTCAATATGAAAAAAAGTCCTAAGATTAAAATTCTCTCAACTGTAAAGTCCCCCCACCCCCAAACTCACAAGCTGGAAAATCACTTTGCAAAGAATCATTTAAACAAGATCATAAAGTTCTCGTGTGTAATTGGTGTGTCAGTAACTAGTCACTTACTTTTCAATCCAGTCTCCCAGATGTTCCTGTTTTCTTAATGAATATTTGAAATGTGTTAAAATAGCCTTTTTTTTTTTTTTTTAAACAGATCCATTTTGAACTTTACACATTTCAGTTAGCTTTTTCAACCTATTTAATTTGTGTTTATAACATTCTTCTGCATGCATTTGTGTGTTTATCTTTTTAATGAGCTCTGATTTTCCAGCCCTTGTCCAGAGAAACCTGCGCTACAGCACAGTCAGAAAGGTTTGCCGGAGACCCAAATATGTGTCCCCACAGGATGTGAAGAAGAAGCAAACCTGGTAGGCTGTTTTAAGAGAACATGCTCCTTGGTGTGTGTGCAGTTTGTGTGCAGTGGGCTGCAGATAATGGGAGACGGATCTGGGATGGGCATAAGCCTTAGAGGACTTTATGGGCTCAGTAAGTCAATACCTGGGGAGAGGTGGCTCCTTTGTAGAACCTCTCGTCTTCCATGTGGGAGACCTGGCCTTGATTCCCAGCCAGTGCACCTCAGCTACAACTACTGTCATCTGTTAGAGGCTTGTACGTTGCTGTGATTCTGAACACATTTCAGTGGGGCTTCTAGACTTAAAATGGACAAGGAAGAAAGTCCTGGCAATCTTAAGTTGGGGAAACTTATAGATCACAGTAGTCCCATGTATAACTGATTCTGGGGATGGTATAGAGGCAGGCAGCGTACCCACTGCACCTGAGTTTGCTGTAAGTCATGGCACCTAATAACAACAGGAACTCAGTGCCTGGCGCTCTGCTCTGTCTCTCAGCATTTTGTCTGCTCAGCCTATCGCTCTCTGTGTGTATGTGTGTATCACAAAGCTTCATAGCACTGTGCTTGGGTGGTTGTTGTTGTTAGGTGCCATCGAGTTGGTACCAACCCATAGCGACCTTATACACAGCAGAATGAAACGCTTGCCCGATCCTGGGCTAACCTCACTTCTGTTACCATGCTTGAGTCCGTCGATGCTGCCACTTGGCCAATCCATCTCGTTGGGGGTCTTCCTCTTTTTCTCTGAGCCTCCACCTTACCAAACATGATCTCCTTCTCCAGCGATTAGTCCCTCCTGACAATATCTCCAAAGTATGAGAGACAAAGTTTGGCCATCTTGGCTTCCAAGGAGCACTCTGGCTGTACTTCTTCCAAAACAGATCTATTGGTTCTTTTGGCAGCCCATGGCACTTTCAGTATTTTCCTCCAACACCATAACTCAAATGCATCAATTCTTCTACAGTCTTCCTTATTCACTGTCAAGCTTTCGCATGCATGTGAGGTTATTGAAAATACCATGGCTTGGGTCAGGTGCACCTTAGTCCTCAAGCTGACATTTTTGCTCTTCAACACTTTAAAAAGGTCAGCAGATCTGCCTAATGCAGTACGTCGTTTGATCTCTTGACTGCTGCTTCCATGAGTGTTGATAGTTAATCCAAGAAAAATAAAGTCCTTGACAACTTCAATCTTTTCTCCTTTGATAAGAATGTTGTTTATTGGTCCAGTGGTGAGGATTTTTGTTTTTTTACATTTGATATGCAATCCATACCGAAGGCTGTGCTCTTTGATCTTCATCTGTAAATGTTTTAATTCTCTTCACTCTCAGCAAGCAAGGTTGTATCATCTGCATATCGCAGGATTGTTCATGAGTCTTCTTCCAATCCTGATGCCACGTTTTTCTTCATAGAACCCAGCTTCTTGGATTATTTGCTCAGCATACAGGTCGAATAAGTATGGTGAAAGACTACAACTTTGTTGCACACCTTTTTCAATTTTAAACCATTCAGTATTCCCATGTTGTGTTCAAACAACTGCCTCTTGGGTCCGTGTAGAGATTCCTCATGAGTACAATTAAGTGTTCCGGAATACTCATACTTCGCAAGGCTGTCTGTAGCTTGTCATGATCCACACAATCGAAAGCCTTTGTGTAGTCGATAAAGCACAGGTAAACATCTTTCTGATAGTCTCTGCTTTCAGCCAGCATCCATCGGACATCCGCAGCGATATCCCTCGTTCCACGACCTCTCCTGAGTCGGCTTGAACCTCCGGAAGTTCTCTGTCAATGTATGATTGAATCTGTATTACCTTTAGCAAAACTTTACTCGCATGGGATATCAAAGAGATAGTCCGATGATTTCCGCATTCTGTTGGGTCACCTCTCTTTGGAATGGGCACAGATATAGATCTCTTCCAATCAGTCGGCCAGGTAGTTGTTTTCCAAATTTCTTGGCAAGTGAGTGCCTCCTGTGCCGCCTCACTTTCTTGAAAAATTTCAGTTTTTATTCCATCAGATCCTGGTGCCTTGTTCTTTGCCAGTTCCTTCAGTGCACCTTGGACTTCCTCCTTCAGTATCATTGGCTCTTGATCATATTCTACCTCTTGAAACGGTTGAACATTAACCATTTCCTTTTGGTACAGTGACTCTTTGTATTCCTTCCATCTTCTCTTGATGCTTTCTGCATCATTTCAATAATTTTCCCGGAGAATCTTTCAATAACAAAAGTCGAGGCTTGAATTTTTTCTTCAGTTCCCCCAGCTTGAGAAATGCTGAGCATGTTCTTCCCTTTTGGTTTCTGACTCCAGATCTTTGCACATTTTATTGTAATACTAGGCTTTATCTTCTTGAGCTGATCTTTGAAATTTTCTATTCAGCTGCTGGACTTCCTCATTTTTTCCATTTGCTTTATCATCTCTGTGCTGGAGAGCAAGTTTCAGTGTCCCTTCTGACATCCATTTTGACCTTTTCCTTCTTTCTTGTCTTCTCAATGACTTTTTGCTTTCTTCATGTATGATGTTCTTGATGTCATCACACAACTCTTCTGGTTTTCCGTCTTTAGTGTTCAATGTATCAGATCCGTTCTTCAGATGATTTCTAAATTCAAGTAGGATATATTCAAGGTCATATTTTGGCTCTTGTGGACTTGTTTTCATTTTCTTCGGCTTCAGTTTGAATTTGCATATGAGCAATTGATGGTGTGTTCCACAGTCTGTCCCTGGCCTTATTTTTACTGATGATATGCAGTTTTTCCATCATCTTTTTCCGCGGATGTTGTCAATTTGATTTCTATGTATTCCATCTGGCGAGGTCCATATGTATAGTTGTCTCTTAAGCTGTGTAAAGAAGGTATTTGAAATGAGCAAATCATTGGTTTTACAGAATTCTATTATGCGTTCTCCAGCATCATTTCTATCACGAAGGCCATATTTTCCAACTACGGATCCTTTCTCTTTGCTCCCAGCCTTTGCATTCCAATCACCAGTAATGATCAATATATCTTGATTGCATGTTTGATCAATTTCAGATGCTTGTGTAGTTACTTTTAAATGGTCCGTTTTCTGAGGAAAGTTATTCCTGGACATTTTTGAGGCTTAGAATGTAAGTGCATCTCATGGCAGCCGAAACAGAAGTCGATCTGTCAGAGAAAATAGAGCATCTGAACGAGACCAGGGATGGATTGGGAGGGATCCTTGTCTCACTATCTTCGTTCCTAAACCCTCTGGAGTGATGGCTACTACAAACCTTGTGTGTGTGTTTGATTATTTTTGGAAGGATATTGTGGTGCTTGGATGATCTAATACTCTGTAATTAAGTACATTAATATTTCTGATGTAAAAGTATGCATAGTAACATTAAGCCGGACTCCAAACCCACAGTTGTGTAGGCCATTCCAACTCATAGCCACCCTGTCTAGGGTTTCCGAGGCTTTAACTCTTTCCATGAGCAGAAAGCCTCTTCCTTCCTCTGAGGAGCTTCTGGTGGGTTTGGACTGCCAACCTTGCAGCAGCTTAGTAGTCCAATGCTTATTCCACAGTGACATTTGTGTAAAGTGCTATCAAGTTAGTCCCAACTCAAAGCGAACCTGTATAGGGTTTCCAAGGAACGGCTGTGGTGGGTTTGAACCTCTGACCTTGCGGTTAGCAGTTCAGTGAAGAAGGATAAATACAGACCACAAGTATCCTCTCACCAGTGCAAATCAGATTTCTGTTGCCGTCTAAGTTTTGATGTCCGTTGTATATTGTATGTCTGTTACACCTCTGTGCAGCTGTTGTTTTCAGAATGTACAGAGTTTCAGAATTGCAGGGAAGGGGTTTGTGGGCCTGTCTGTGCTGTTGTCATCGTGTGCTCAACTTCTTCTTCCTCACTCTCTAGGGTTGGGGCCACACAGGCAAAGATGAAAGTGCCCTCACCTGGGGAGTACTGGGTTTGTTACTCTTCATTCTTTTCTCTAGCTGTTAATGTGTGCTGAGACTCAAGATTGGTGGGGTTGGCTAGCAGAGAGAGCCGTGCGGTGGTGTCATTCAGTGCAGTGCAGTCACTTCCGACTCCTAGTGACCCACAGGCAGTAGACTAAACACTCCCTGGATCTGTGCCATCCTCACAGCCCTTACTGTGTCCAAGCCCATTGTTGCTCCCGCTGTGCTGGTCCATCTTATTGGGGGTCTTTCTCTTTGTTGCCGACCCTCTACCAGACATGGCCGTCTTCAGGGACTCTGGTCCCTCCTGATAACATGTCCAAAATACATGAGACAAAGTCTCGCCATCCTGGCTTCTAAGGAGCATTCTGGCTGCACTGCTGAGACCGATTTCTTCATTCTTCTGGCAGCCTGTGGCATAATCAGTAGCTTTGTCAAAACCACAATTCAAATGTGTCATTTCTTTGACTTTCCTCCTCATTGTCCATCCCTCCACAGCTCTCCTTAGTCCCAGAACACAGTGTCTGAATGTTTTTTGTTTCTGTTGTACAGCAGTGGCATGCTTTTAGGCCCAAAGAGCATCCCAGACTATTGGGACTCATCTGCCGTGCCGGACCTGGGATTCAAGGTAGGTATGGAGACCTGGCTGCTCGGATACTCACCAAAAGGTTGGAGGTTTGAGTCCACTCAGAGGCACCTTGGAAGAAAGATCTGGCAGTCCACTTCCGAAAAATGAGTTTATTGGCAATCCTATGGCATGCATATGTGGGGGACTAATACCATAGGATCCCCATGAGTCGGGTTGAACAACAGTAACTGATTACCTGGCTGGTTGGGGCCGGGAAGGAGTTCTAGGAAAGACAGGGATGTAAACCAATGATGGCTGGAAGGCTGTAGCTCAAGGAAGAAGGAGGGGTGTGGGTTGGTCGGTTTTCAGGTCTTGGGGTGTTAACAGTTGGAGTGGGTCTCGTGAGGAGAGCGATGGGTTGAGGGAGGAAAAGGGGCTGTGGCATTTGCTGGAAGCAGCAGAAAGGATTCCGGAGCTGGGCCTGGCAAACAGATAGATACAGTGCACTCAGCAAGGCAGACAGGGGGACCCCAGCATGATGGAATTTGGGGGGCTGTCTGTGAGAAGGATGACTAGAGACTTGAACAGCCACTTCAGCAGCCCACCTGGGTAGTGATTGTGGGGCGCTCGGCTGATAGCTGGTGTCCTGCCTAGTGTGTGTCCAGTTGATCCGCCTGTCCTTGGAGGATGGGCCTTGCTGAGCTTGTACAATGTACACAGATAAAACACCCCATGTTGGGACAGGGCAGCCATGGTTGACCCCTGAGCAGTGTAATTGAGTGAGAGCAAGGGAGGACACAGTGGAGAGTGGGAGCTGTGTGGGAAGGTGGAGCATCTGGAGGTGGTCCTGGGGTCTTCTTGGCTCTGGGAAGGACTGGGGGTCGGGTTCTGAAATGTATTTGTTCCTCAGAGAGTTGCCCTCATCCCGTCCTCGGAGGAGCACCAGAAGGTCTGTGAGCTTTTCAGCCGCACGCTGCCCTCCTACCTAATCCAGAAGATTGAGCGCGTGCAGAACCTGGCCCTCTGGGAAGTCTACCAGTGGTGCGTGGCGTGGCGATGGTGCTCCCCGGGCTTCCCTCCCTGTCGTGCAGATCCGTCGTACAGATGGGGACTGCTCCTTTGCTGTCCTAGTTCACTGGTGACTTAGCCAGCGCGCCCCCGGAGAGCAGTTGAGGGTCAGCATGGCCCACCGCCCCCTCAGCCCCAGGAAGCATGGCTGTGTCTGAGGACCTGCAGGTCCCTTTGTTCGTTTGAGGAGGGAAGACGTCATAGTGGCCACCTGTTGGGGATGCGGTTGGCCAGTCCCCACAGTGGGGGGGTCAGAGAAGACTTTGCACTTTGCAGCAACAAGCTTCCTCAGGCAGCTGGGAGGACTCCATTCTCCACGGTTGATCTGCTTTTGGGGTTTCTGTGCCTGGGGAGGCCCCCTAGTGATGGAGGAAGCGGTTTATTGTGGGTTTTCCCCTCGTTCTGGGGTGGCCAGAACCCTGGTCTCAGTGCTGCACCCCATGGTCCCAGGCTGCGGCTGCGGAGGTGTAGCGGTTGGGCATGATGTCCTCCTCCTTTCCCCCCTGCCCTTTCTGGACTTTAGGCAGAAGAGTCAGATGCAGAAGAAGTGTGGAGGTGCCGCAGTGTACGAGAGGCAGCTCTTCCATGGCACCAACGCCTGCTTTGTGGATGCCATCTGCCAGCAGAACTTCGACTGGCGCATCTGTGGACTTCACGGCACCTCCTATGGCAAAGGTGAGGGCTAATACGGTGGCAGGGCGGAGGCCACCACCCCAGCAGGTCCTGCACACTATGGGGAAGGGGGCCTGTGGGAGCCTCTGCCTCAGTCTCAGAGAAGGGCCCTTAGCGGGCAGCTCCTCAGACAAACTCACTGCAGTGTTTATCTGGGTTAGGGAGGGGCTTCTGCCCTTCAGTTATTTCCAAACTGTTTGTGGAATGAATTTCAAACTCGCAGATGAGTTTGCAAGACTAATAATGAATCCCCCCATACGTCTCCCCTGCTTTCCCCATTGTCACATGTGGTTTGTCACCCCTTCTGAACCTCAAATCCCTGTGGCTCTTCAGTGCCTCTTTTACATTACACAAGGCACGATGGATGGATGCTGTGTTCATTTAATCTGGAGTCTGCATGCCTGCTTTATCACCTGTCTACCAGTTAGTGTGCAGCTGTCCATCCCATGCTGTAAGGGCAGAGTTTGGCTGAGAGCCCTGACTGACAAGGCACTTCAGCTGAGTTGCACTGGTGGCTGGCTTCCTCACTTCCCTCTGGTACCCTTTTCAGAATCCCTGGGTATACAGACTTGGCTGCTAACCAAGAGTTTGTGGAGTTTACCAAGAATAAGCTCTACCTCAGTAAAAAGGACTGGTGACCTGAAAAGGCAGCCATTGAACCCCATGGAGCGGAGTTCTTCTCCTGACAACTGTGGGGCCTGAGTGGGAATTCAGTCAATGGCAGCAGGCTTCAGGGCTGGGACCCCACTAAGGGGCCTGCCACATTCAAGCAGGCCTGCTAGCATTTGACCTGTGCCCTGCAGGTGCTGAGAGGGAAGACCTCCCCACTCTGCATCTTGACCTGAGCCCCCTGTTCTTGCAGGGAGCTACTTCGCCCGTGACGCTGCGTACTCTCACCACTACAGTGAGGCCAGCGCACAGTCCCACAGGATGTTTCTGGCCCGAGTGCTGGTAGGCGAGTTTGTCCGTGGCTGTGCCACCTATGTCCGCCCACCAGCCAAGGAGGGCCAGGCCACCACCTTCTACGACAGCTGCGTGAACAGCATGTCTGACCCGTCTATCTTTGTGGTCTTTGAGAAGCACCAGGTCTATCCTGAATACCTCATCCAGTACACCACCAGCGCCAGACCCGTGGCCTCCCTCGTGGCCCCGGCCTCCCTCGCGGCCCCGGCCTCCCTCGCGGCCCCGGCGTCCCAGGCGGCCACCGCCTCCCTTGCGGCTCCGGTGTCCAGGGCGGCCACCGCCTCCCTCACGGCCACGGCCTCCCTCTCCGGCCCGGCCTCTGTTGGAACCACTGCCGCGGGCCAGCCACGCATGGGCATCTGGGGGTGGTTCGCCCGCTGAGGCAGTCTGCCTAGTGGTTTAGTTTTTAAACAAAAAAACTTTTAATGAACTGTTAAATGCTGCTTTCTCTGATGCAGCATTCTTAATCACCAGATGGTAATTCTCACTTTTAGGGTCTCCGTCGGCTTGTGGTGGTTGGTGACCGTTTGTGCCTTTTAATAGTGTGTTTTATGATGTTACATTTTACTATCTGTTGACTTTGCTGCTTTTTGGTACCAGGTATAGATTTCTACAAATGGTTTTATGGATTAATTTTAACCTTTAGGGTTTTCGGTCTGTCATGCCCCTGGGCCTCCAGGGTGTGGCTGTGCTTATGGGAGGGCAGAGTCACCAGCTGATCCTGAGAATGGGGGTGGGGGGGGGAGGCTGGGTGCAGTCCTGATTGCTGTTCTTGGGTCAGGCCTCTCTGCAACCTGTGTTGTCTGATACAGTGGTAATGGTGGCGTGCGCCCTTGTGGGCCTGCTGTTAATTCTAGGGAGTGAGCTCACCTGGCAGGTGACAACCCCAGGAGATCTGAATCTTGTGCCATGAATGTCAGAGCACAGAAATAAAGACTTACCTGAAAGCCTGAGGTGGTCATTCTTCAGCGTCTGTTTGAGCATCGGTTTTGGTGTGTTAGTGCATTGTATGTGTGTGCACTAAGCCACTTTTCCTGGCAGTGGGAGGCAGGTTCTGTGTGGCTTTACTGTGACACCACAGATTCCTCACTTAATGGGACCCCAGCTGCAGTTCCCATCATTTTCTGTTTGGTAATATTTGTAGGAGTAGCATGCTAATATTTGTAGGAGTAGCATGCTTATCTTTTCTACCCCCCAAATCTGTAAGTCTTCAGTCCCCCAAAGTCGGGGTTCAGTCCGAAGAAGCTCAGTGTGAGGCGAGCAGAGGGGATAAAGGACCAAGCACCCCAGACGGTTTTCTATGGGGTTGCCTGGTAAGCTCCGGGCACCTGTGATACAGTCAGCGCTCCTGCCAAGCTGTTCAGACATTCCACTGGGGTGCTCTTTGACCATGGTAGACCTCTCTGCTTTACAGAGGAGGAAACTGAGGCACAGGGCGGCTACCAGCTCCCTACCCTTCAGAACTGGATTCCAGTCTGAGGGGTTTGCTGCATTGGAGCTGCTTAGCACCACCAGGGTCATTAGTTTAGCCCAAGTTTCCATCAGATCAAAATGAACACTGTTCAATAGATAGATGAGTTTCCCTTTCTGCATGCTGGGTATTTTATAAGGGGGCATTGTCCACCTAGAGAAAAGCACATTGTTTCCAGAGCCTTAAAGTTTTTTTGAAGTTGGTGTTCAGGATAAAGGTCCTTCTTGAAGTGTGGAAAAGGCCCTTGCCTCACTCTCCTGCAAAGCCTGTTTCTCAGTTTTGCCACGTGTGTGTGTGTCACATTTGTCAGCAGTGGAGTTGGATCAATGCCAAGTGCAATAAGTAACACTTTATTAAAGCAGTTGAAGCCTTCCTGAACCCCCTGGAACCCTTCTTTCTCACTAGGCTGTATGTGTTGGGGGGTACCTTCTGTGCAGGTCCCCACATCTCCCTTGAGTGAGGTCTTCCTGGTCAGCGGGGCACTATCTTGATGGAGACACCAGTTTTTGGAGCGAGGGCCAAGTTGGATGCCAGCTGCAGTGGTACCTGAAATAGAGATAAGGAGTGGAAGGAGGAGTTTCTGCGCACTTGGACACTTTAGACACCTGGACTACAATACAAGGGCGTGACACTTGCCCAATTGGACCTCTGCTCCTTGAAGCCAGCAGAGCAGTCCTTGGGCATGGGCATCCTATAATAATAGCTGGTCCTTTCCCTGGGCTCCTGCCTGGCCTCGTTGTGTTGACATGGGCCATTGGGCCACCTGGACCCTCACAGCCCTGCATCTCACTCTAAATGAAGACAGGACGGCTCTGAGACCCGGTACTTAATCGGGGCACTGGGCGATGGATGGGTGCAGAGCCGGGCTCTTCTGAAAGGCTCAGGAAGCAAGGCCCCACGGGGTCCCTGACTGTTCTGAGGGATCTGGGCATGAGGTGCTATGGGTCCCTGCCCATGCATACCATGGCTGTTTCTAATCTTAGTACATATGATTAAATTTCACTGAACTAAGATTACATTTTGAGTAGCCACACACTGTGTCTTGTCTTTGCGTTCATGAGCACAGCTGCAGAGGAGCTTGAAATGGCACCAGAGCAGCTGGCAGGAAAGCCTTCCTGGGGGAGGCGGCATGGGGCTGGGCTAGGACTGGAGAACCGTTAGAGCGCCACCTCTCAGGCCCCTTGAAGGATCAGATTAGGGCAGGGTGGGATATGGTTCCATGGTGGGGCGTGAATGGTTACCTGGGTAGACCATTCAAGGGCAGCAAACGTCTTAGTGGGGACATCCAGGTGGGTTATACAGAGTGAGGCCAGATGGGTCTGGAAATCTGGGTTCTCTCTGGGAAGTACCAGAACCTTGGGTGTGCGGGAGATTGGTGAACCAGACAACCCCCACTAGGAGGTCTTGGGGTGGGGCACACCCACCCTGCTTGGGCTCTGCTGCTGCCTCCCCCGCCCCCCCAACACACACATCTGGTGGACAGACAGCCTCATCACCTGCACCAACCAGGCCTCTCTAACATGAGCCACCAGGACCACAGACATGTGCCAGGGTGTCTGTCTTCAGTCCTGTCCAGGGTGGCAAAGGGGAACCTTTGCACAGAGAGCCACTTGGGGTGAACCTGGTGTCTATTGAGCAACCCCTCATTTGTTCACTGCTGTGGAAGGTGGATAGGACACTGGCCGAGCCCACTGTTAAGGTCTGCTCCATAAGATGGCTGTGAGCTGGGAGGGGTGTGTGTACCCTGACCTAGTTCACTGACTCTCCTTGGGATTGGGGTACAGTGTGGGGACTTGGCCAAGAAGGGGCCAAGTGTCTGGGTGAAAAGGTGTGGTCTGAGCACCTCTGGGACTGGTCATGGCTGTTGGGGACTCGAGGACTGGGTGGATGCAAAGGTTGCGGTGCCTGAGCACATGCACGTCCCTAGCCACCACATGCCCAGTGGGCAGGACTGGAGGGCACGCTACACCCCAACCAGCTGTGATAACTGGGAGCTTCAGTCCTCCCATGCCTGGGAGCTGGGACATTGGGGCTGTCCCTTTTATAGAAGAAACAGCTGCATGCAGCACCAAGCAAGAGGTGTGGTTCAGAGAACTGGGGGTGATCCTTGGGAGCTGGGTGAACTCCCAGGAAGAGTACCCACCCGCAGTGGACTCACCTGGGTCTCGACGCAGGCCTGGAACCGGAAGGCACGCAGTACTCGGAGCAGCGTCAGCTTGATCTCAAGCAGCCCTAGTCGTACCCCGAGACAGCTCCGCGGGCCGGCCCCAAAGGGCAGGTAGGTGAATGGCCGCTGCCGCTTCCTGGCCTCTGCTGTAAACCTGTGGGCAGGGGGACAGGCTGACCAGACACCCACCTCCAGATCCAGCACCCTGGAACTCTCCATCCTAGCCCCCAGCCCATCACTGCAGACAGCGTCCCACCAGGTGGGTGTAGCCCCTGCCATGACCCGCCCATCCTAATTTCCCCAAGGACCCATCTAGTGGGGGGGGGTGTCAGGGGGTGAGCTGCAGACCCACCACCTCAGGTCTGTAAAACCTATAAGGCTGTGAGGACTTGGGACTGCCCTCTGTGTCCTGCTCCCGCCCCCCGCTCCCCATTACTGCCCTGGTCAGTCTGGACCCCACTTGGAAGGCCTCCCCCTACTCTTCTACCCGCTCTGATTGGCTGGCCACGCAGCTCCTGCCCCCACACTGTAAACACCCCTAGCTGGAGCCCTGGATGAGGGTTCTCACTGTTGTCTCCTAACCCAGTAACTGTGGCGCTGCATTATTTGACATGAAGTCAGCCCACCTGCCCCCCTGGATCACCCACTGGGCCTGGGGCTGTGGTGTGAAAGAGGGCAGGAAAAAGCAGTCCCTGCTTTGGTGGGACCCGAAGGTCTGGGCAACATCGCTGTTGGGGACAGAACGTTCTGAACACTTTCGTAGAAGCTGCTCACTGCTTCCAGTGCTAGACTTCTAGGCCCAGGGAGCCCTTGAACAATCCTTTCCAACAACAGCAGTGCATTTTGTTTGCAGAGGTGGGGGTGCCTCTAGGTGGACATCAGTCTGATCTCTGGGATTTTGCGGTTCTCCCAGCACCTGCGGGCCAGTTGGTCACAGTTTCCCAGGATAGGTACACAGTCCAATAGCTAATTGGGGGAGGGAGCCTGGATATGTTCTGATAGGGTGATATGTCGGGACCTGCTCAGACTATTGGTCCAAGTCACCGAAGGGGGGCGGGGGTGGTGGTGAGGCAAACCTTAATTCAGATTCAAGGGGTGAGGCCATGTGGTTGGTATGAATTGTTCTAGAAAGGATCCCTGGAGGCACAACGAATGGTTAATGATCAGATAAATGTTGTGGATTGGAACCTACCAGTAGCTTTGAGGGAGATCTCCCCAAAAGACTGAAAACCTAGGACATGCATGGAGTTCTCCTGTAAGGCGGAAAACAACTCTAGGGCACACAACAGTGCTAGGATACTGGCCACTAAATTTTGAAAAGCAAGTGGTGGGGAGCCACCTTCTGGGTTGAGCCCAGTGTCCAGGCTGCCCTGACATCAACAGGCCCACCACTGACCTGCTGGCAGCTGAGATGCTAACTCGGCTTCAGGGGGGCCTTTTTATGGAACCAGCAATTTTCCTTTGGAAGCCATGTGGACAGCTGTCTGCGTTGCATGGTTTCTGACTGATTGGGGGCACCTTGGACTAAGGTGAAGGAACCCTGGTGGCACAGTGGGTTAAGTGTCAAATTTGCTACCTGAAAGATAAGTGGTTCAAACCCACCAGGCCCTCAGGGAGAGCGATGAGGCAGTCACTCCCATTAAGATCTATTGTTTTTAAGTGCTGTCACCTAGGTTCTGACGTCTAGTGACCCTATATAGGGTTTCCGAGGAGTGGCTGGTGAGTTTGAACTGCTGACCTTGCGCTTCAAACCAACCTTGAGATTAGAGTACTTATCCTGTGGCGCCACAGAAATCACGTGTTCCACTCTATCCTGTTGGGACAAATCATTCCACTCTTGAGTGGGAATGGTCATGGCAGTGGGTTTGGGTGTCAAAAGAGGGATTTCTGTTCCTGGTTTCAAACAAGATACATCTGGAGGTACCTCCTGGCCGGGAGGGGACACCTGGATCCCAAAGTGGTATACACTGTTCCCAGCACTGGATCCCTGGGCCCTGTAGGGGAGCTCACCTCTCGGGGTCGAAGGCCTCAGGCTCTGGCCAGTGCTCTGGGTCATGATGCAGGGCACCTACTGCTGTCTCCAGCACAGTGCCCGCAGGGATGTGCTGCCCCAGGAGCTCACAGTCCTTCGCTGCCTCCCTCGTGAACCTGCCAGGAGACACCGGGTGGACCATGCAGAGGATGGAGGGGTGGGCCCAGCCTTTCCTGTGGACCTTTCTGTATTGTATATTGTACTTAATTACTAATTGCAAACGGTGGTGATTTAAACTCACTCAGAGATGCCTCAAAAGGAAGGCCTAGTGACAAGTTTCCAGAAGATTATACCTTTGAAAACTGTGGAGCAGCTTCTACTCTGACAGACCTGAGTGAGGTCCCATGAGTTGGAAGCAACTCCACTGGTAGTGTTTCACATTGTTGTTCTAAACTCCACGTATGGTTTTTTGTAATATAAAGATTTTTAAACTTTATAAATACTGACCTTGGCTCTTACTTCTAGTTGCAGGACAGGGGTTTTCCCCTAAGTCTTACAGAGGTATAAGATTACATGCCATATCTGTTGGACCCTATTACAGCTCAGGGGAGACAGTCTGATCAGCCCTGGCTCCTTATAGTATCCGTCTCTGTAGGAGTTTTGATGGACAGGTCAGAATGGCGGAAGGAGGAGGCTTTGAACAGTTGCTTGGAGCAAATGCTGGTGCTGTGGGGAGGAGGCATGAAGGCTTCATCCTTTCATCTGGACTGGGAACAGTGCAGACCTTGATGGATTCTTGGAGTCAGAGGTGGCTGGAGACCAGAACCTGCTGTCCTCTAGAGGCCACTGAGAGGGCCCCAGTCAGCTGAATGGACTGTGCATATGAAGGACCAGAATACTGCTCCAACCAGCACTGAGCCTCCATGTCTTTTATGGATGGAACATTCAGGTGTTCCTATACCATCAGCACTGGACACTCCCTACACAGGGGAGCTGTGAGTTGGAAATGACTAGACAGCACATAACAACAAGCAAAGAAGCGAATGCCAGCGCTTAGGAAGAGCCACCACCTTTTCATGATAAAATAAGGTTTCAAACAGACATTGAAATACATTTGTATCCATCCATCGTAGGGAGCGAGGTGGCTCTGTAGGATAAACACTGGACCACAAACCAGAAGATTGATGGTCCAAACCCATCAGTCACTCCGCAGGACAAAAATGAGGCTTTCGCCTCCTGCAAAGATTTACAGCCTTGGAAACATATATATTGTTAAATGCTACTGAGTCAGTTCTGACTCATAGCAACCCTAGAGGGTTTCCAAGAAGCAACTGGTGAGTTTGAACTTCTGACCTTGTGGTTCAAACAGATCTTGCGGTCCAGTGTCACACCAGGATCCACATATATAATAGATGAAATAATAAAATTAAACAGGAAAATAATTTTAAACAAGTTAAAAGTAATGAAATAAAAGTACAAAAAGGACAAAACTGACTTTCATGATTTTCTTTAAGACAAAAAATGGAATTTAATATGAAAAAATTAAATGTCAATAAGATTAAATAACACCAATTAAAGTAATTCTTAAAAATTAAAGATAAAATATTTTAACAAAATAATTTTAAACACATAATTTTAAAACTAAGTAAGATTGAGGTGATAGTCTCTTCAACAGATGATGCTGGCAGAACTGGAAAGTGATATGCAAAAGACTGAAACAAGACCTTTACCTCACACCTTACACAAAAAGGAACTCAACATGGATTAAAGACCTAAATGTGAATCCCAGAATTATGAAGGCCAATGAAAAAATAGGGACAAATGTGAAGGCACTAATTCAGGGCATACACAGACTATCAAACATTTTGAAAACCACACAAACAAAAGTAGACAAAATAGATGAGTGGGACATACTAAAAATTAACAACTTACGTGCATCAAAAGGCTTCACCAGAAGAGTGATAAGGGAACCCACAGTATGGGCAAAAATCTTTTGCAATGACACATCAGACAACGAACTTATTTCTAAAATATATAGGAAACTATAATACCTCTACAAGAAAAGGAATAACCCAATTAAAAAACAGGCAAAGGACATGAACAGACACTTCACCAAGGAAGAGATCCAGGCGGCCAACAAACACAGGAAGAAATGTGCACAATCAGGAGCCATTTAAGAGAGAGCAAATCAAAACACCAATGAGATATCATCTCACACCAACAACAGCAAAGATCAAAAAAGTAGAAGACAATAAGTGCAGGCAGGGATGTGGAGAGACTGGGACACTCCTGCATTGCTGGTGGGACTGCAAAATGGTCCAACCTCTCTGGAAAGCAATATGGCGCTTCCTCAGAAGGTTGGAAATAGAAATACCTTATGATCCAGCAATTCCTCTACTTGGTTTTTACCCACAAGAATTACTATCCATGACACAAGTAGATAATATGCACACCAGTTTTCATAGCAGCACTATTTACAATAGCAAAAAGATGAAGACAGCCAAAGTGCCCATCAACTGAAGAATGGATAAACAAACTGTGGTACATACACATGATGGAATATTATGCTACCTTGAAGAATAACAAGCTGCAAGCCACCGCATAGCATGGATGAACCTTGAGGACATTATGTTGAGTAAAATTAGTCAGTTACAAAAGGAGAAATACTGCATAGGACCACTATTGTAGAAGACTAAGGGAAAGAACCCATACCAAAAGGGGATGGATTCTTTGCTGGTTGCTGGGGAGGTAGGGGATGGTGGAGCACAGGGCAGGGAATAGACAGGATAGTTTGGGTGCTGGGGAGGGGGGGCAATATACAGAAAGGGAGAGGGGAATGGAAGAACAAAGCAGATGGGAGAACAATTAGTCAGGTTTGCATGGGCTAAGTGGAACAAAGGTAAACAATGATGTGTGCACGACTTTGGAACAACAGGGTTCTGGGATACAGGGATTGAGACATGGTTGGAATGGGGAAAAGGGGGGAAATAATGTTAAGATGCTTGGCTGTCTTTTGAATCTTGGGTTTCCTTGCATTATATGATAAAATAGACACTGGAGGGGGAGAGAAAGGAATAGCCAGAAATAACACCATAGAAAGCTTGTAAGTTCATCTTCTGCCTATAACTGATTAGAACACCTAAAATGGGGCTACAACGTGCCCAGTGAAGGAGGCTTCCTGCGGAGCCTCTGCATTACATAAGACTATAGGTGGAATCTTGAACAGCATCCAGAATCTTCTGAGGTGAGAAATTTCCACTTGAAAGGACAAGCAGACCAGCCTGGAGCTGCTAGAAGAACACAAGATACTTCTTGAAAGAAAGGCCAACAGGAAAAATCAAAACAACATAGGCAGACTGTTACTACAAGAACAATCAAGCTGCTTGCCCAGGAGACATCAAGGCAAGTGGTTGGGTCCCCTCAGAGCAAACCGCCTTCCAAGACAAAGACTCAATGGGAATACATGCTCTGATTGGTGATCACGTTTCGTCACTGATAAGGGGAAGAGAGGGAAAAACAGTAATGACGTTGCAAGCTAAACCCTACAACATTCAATAGAACAACCCAGGTGGAGACCTGGTTGGCCAGCAGTGTGGCAAGACCTGGGTTGCCACAGAGTCAGTGACATAGCCACAGAGGACTAGAGTGGAGAGTGAAGCGTAAGAGTAATCTGATACAATTTGATGAACTTGATCTCCACCTATGGATGCAGTAGCTCAAAAGAGGGAACAAATCTTTACAGCAAGGATTATTCCCACCCCCTCCATACAGAGTAGACAGGGATGGGCAACTTGGACATTGGCTACCCAAAATGGGGGGCGGGGGCTACAAAGGCAAGAAGTGACTGGCTTACAAGCTTTCAAGAGGGTGTGGAGGAAGGTAGAATCTCCACTGAGTAGTATCCAATCTGTCTGGGTGGGGCTGATGCAAGGAAATGCGGATAGGTCCCTTGTGATACAATGGTGAATAATTGTTATCAGGACTGATTGTGTGAGGGTTGGAAATGTAAAGGTAGATGTTTTATAGCAAGGAGGGGAGTAACTTTGCAGTCTAGGAGCGGAGGTCTCTGGGACCATCAAGGGACAAGAGCGGAGAGCGGGATCCTACCCAGAGAAGCAGTGATGCCTGAGACGGAGGCAGAGATGATGACGTGGAGAGATGGAGCAGCTGGTGATTTTAGACCCAGAGAGGGAGAGGGGCTTTGTGCAGACCACAGGGGAACAGGTTTGCAGGGTATACCCTTTGGTTGGTTGATGATGCATGGAGGGGATTGTAACCATGGCAATGAAACAATATACGATAGGATGAATGTAAAACTAATGTTCTCCCATGTAAACTATCACATAATTCATAATAAAACATTAAAAAAAACACCCAACTAAATAAGATCAAATAATTAGGCAAAATAAAACTATACTAACATTTGCAAAGATCCTATTTCTAATCGAGGTCTCATTCACAGGTACCCAGGATTAGGACGTCACCATCCTGGGGTTTGTTGTTGTTGTTTGAACACAGTCCACTCCCCGGTGACAGTTTGTGCTACTTTTACTTCTGGTTGCTGTTTGACTCTCTTAAGGATCGCAGCAACAACGGAGTTAACCTCCCCTGTCCCACGGGACATCTCGTTTTGGAAGCAGACTGAACTCCTGCTCTCGGGCACTTCATGGTTGATGTGACTGTCCGCTGGTGAAATGCTAGCGCCACTGGGCCATGAGGTATTGACTCTGAACAGGACAGGGCTTCCTGTCTCTTCTGTACACAGGTGACTGCCCCGTGGTTAGCTCAATAAATGGCAGCTGAATGAATGAATCGAAGAATCCATGGAAGAGGGGTGTGGCAGAGTCATCAAGGTTGGAAGGCTGGACGAGATGGCTTGGGTTGGGGAAAAGATCCTGTCAAGAAAGGCTCGTGAAAGATCTCAGTACCCTCAAGAAAGGAGAGCTCAAAGTGGAGCCTGTCCTTTGGACCTGAGGTCCCTTGTGCTGAGAAGCTCCTAGGCCCATGGGAAGATAGAGACCAGGACACATGGAGGTCTCTATGGGCTGTCAAGTCCACAGATAATGAAATCCCCAGAACTGACAGACAGCTTTCCCCTAAAGCTGGACCCTGCATTCAGACTTCCAATCTAAACTGAGAGAACACAGGTCTGTTTGTTAAAGCCATGAAAACAGAAAGACCAACAATGCTTTGAGGACACTGGCTGGGCGTGCATCACTAGGTCACTGTGGCCACACACCTGCTGGGGATATGAAGAAGGCTGAGACACAGACCGGCTGCAGGGGAAGGGCTCTGGGCATACCTGAAAGCTGGTGGATATAATCTCAAGGTCTCTGCGATCACCATGTCCAGGTAGGGCAGGCCTTCCTGGAGGCTGCAGTACTCGGTGGGGGCCTAGTGAATACAATGGAACAAAGGAAGAAGGTCATGTTAGATGTAACTACACAACACCGTCTTGTCTTCTTCACTAACTTACTTTGTTGTGATTTGGGCAAAAGCTTACAGAGCAAATGGGTTTTCCAATTAACTATTCATACACAGTTTGATCCGTGACATTGATTGCAATCACCACATTGTATTCTTCCTAATTTTTCTGTTTCATCCATCTTTCTTTCCCTTCCTGGCTTCGGAGCTTTCTCCCTAAGCACATGCTGCCCTTTTGATCTTGTCTGGTTGATTAAGGAGTGCATAGCTCCCTGGCATTAGTTGTTAGACCTTGTAGACCAATGTGATATTTGGCTGAAAGTTGAGCCGTGCGGGGTGAGTTTCATTGTAGGGCTGACTCGTGTCTAAGGGCCATAGGCTTAGGGCCAGAGCGGCCACTAACTTTCAAGTTGGAGTCCAAGATGGAAGACAAGGCACAGTGAACAACAGAGCAGACGAGGACTCCACAGTGCTAATTCGCACTGCAAATGCGTGGGCAGTGCTGGGCACTGGGGATCTTGGATCCAGCTTTGGGATATTTGGTGATAAAACAAAATGGCTGCATTAGTTGGGATAGCCGACAAGTACTGTGTAAGTTGTTATTGCTAGGTGCCATCGAATTGGTCCCCATGCCGAAATCAGAACAAAATGTTGCCCGGTCCTGCTAGGCTGGAGCCCAGTGTTGCAGCCATTGTGTCAGTCCATCTCATTGGGGGTCTTCCTCTTTTCACCGACCCTCCACTTTACCAAATATGAGATCCTTCTCCAGGTCCCTCCTGATATGTCCCAAGTAGGTGAGACAAAGTCACCATCCTCACTTCTAAGGAACATTCTAGCACATGCATGACCTATTTTAACCCTCCAGTGAGGCAGCCCAGCTGTTCTTACACTTCTTAGCTGAGTGAACTGAGGCTCAGAAAAGTAGTCCTATGCTAAGTGGCGGCCACAGCATGTTCCTGTTGTTACAGGGTAGAAGTGACTGTCTTCATGAAAACTCACTGCCAGAGTTTGCTTCTGTGGTGCTAATGGGTGGATCCAAATGGCCCACATTCAGGCTGGTAGTCAAGTGCAAATTGTGCCACCCAAGGATCTTGGTATAGCATAGGTAGAGCCTGAAGACAAATGGAATAGTCAACAAACATATACACATGGCTTCTGACAATTTCTTGCTGTTAGGCTAAGTTAGCCACAGTTGCAGTTGGATTCTATGATCTGCAACCTAAGGAATCTTTAACTGATTTCAAAAAGAAAAGGTCTCCAGGGCTGGCTGCATCAAGCCTACCAGTAATGGTGTTGGCCACCCAGGTCGAATTGTGTGTGCTATAGGCTGCCAGGATTTGTCAAAGAAAATGCTTTAAGGCAGGTTAAGTGAGGATGGTGGGCTTTGCATTACATACTTAGGACATATTACCAGGAGAGACCAGTCCCTGGAGAAGGACATCATGCTTGGTAAAGCCGAGGGTCAGCAACAAAGAGGAAGAGCCTCTTATGAGATGAATTAGAACAGTAGCTGCAACACTGGGCTCAAACTGAACAATTGGGGGGATGATACAGGACCAGGTGTGCTTGGTTCTGTCTTACATGGTGTCACTGTGAGTCAGAAGCAACCCAACAGCACTGAACAACAGCAACAAGGGGTTTGTATTATAAACCCAAGTCTTCACTTATTCTTTCCCAGACCAAGATCTCATGGGCCTTCTAAACTGTGTGTGTGTGTGTGTGTGCCGTGGAGTCATTCTGACAGTGACCTTACAAAGGGTTTCCAAGTCTGTAGATCTGGGTTTATGGAAACACGTCCTACAAACAGCATGTTGGGGCAGCCGTCTCAGATCAGCTGCCTACAAGAATCAGGCGGGCAGCTTCCCATTTCAAAAGCTCCCCAGATCCTTGTGTCTGAGAGGAGAGGAGTGGTGGGCACACGGAAGGGAGGATCAGGATTCTAGTTTTCACCTAACCCAATGGGACAGCCCACTCATGGGCACCTGACGGGGCTGCTAGTTCTTCCAGAAAAATCCGGATAAAGGGACCTGAGCATGTGCGGCCAGCAGGGGGCAGCAAGTGCACAGCAAATGGCCACCCCAGTGAAAGAAAATGCCAGCCTACTCTTCCTTGATAGATTTCAGTTTGAAGAAGTTGGTAGAATTCTATTTTATCCTCACTGGCTTCAGTGGTTGGTGTGTAAATTTGAATAATAGTGGTATTAACTGGGCTTCCCTGTAGGCGCATGAATATTATCCTACCAACGTACCTCATGACTGATCTGGATATGTTCTTTTTGACAATGCAACACCATTCTTCTTCAATTTACGACGGGACCAATAAACAACATTCTTATGAATGGAGAAAAGACTGAAGTTGTCAAAGACTCCATTCTTCTTGGATCAACTATCAACACGGAAGCAGTAGTCAAATCTGCACAAGACCTTTTGGAAGTGTTGAAGAACAAAGATGTCAGCTTGAGGACTAAGGTGTGCCTGACCCAAGCCATGGTATTTCCAGTAACCATATGCATGTGAAAGCTGGACAGTGAATAAGGAAGATCGTAGAAGAATTGATGCTTTTGAGTTATGGTGTTGGAGGAGAATATTGAAAGTGCCATGGGCTGCCAAAAGAACCAATAGATCTGTTTTGGAAGAAGTGCAGCCAGAGTGCTCCTTGGAGGCCAAGATGGCCAAACTTAAGTCTCTCATACTTCGGACATATTGTCAGGAGGGACCAATCACTGGAGAAGGATATCATGTTTGGTAAGGTGGAGGGTCAGAGAAAAAGAGGAAGACCCCCAACGAGATGGATTGGCCAAGTGGCAGCATCGATGGACTCAAGCGTAGCAATAGTAGTGAGGTTGGCCCAGGATCAGGCAGTGTTTCGTTCTGCTGTGCATAAGGTCGCTATGGGTCGGTACTGACTCGATGGCACCTAACAACCACAACAACAACTTCCTTAGACCTGTGGCTATCGTGTCAATTCCGATTCCTCCAGCTGCCTGCCCACAGGGTTTCTGAGGCTGTGATTCTTGACTGCCACGTTTTTATCCCGTGGAATGGCTAGTGGGTTCTAACCACCAACCTTTAGGTTAGCAGTGGAGTGATTAACCATTAAGCCACCAGGGCTCCTTAGTCTTCATTAAGGAGTGAGGCCCAGAGAGCTAAGTCTGAGCCTGAAGTCACACAGCCAGATTGACTCCTGTCCTGTCCCTGCCCTGGGCTAGATGCTGGAGACCCAGAAATAACATAAGGCTTTGCAGACATATCCCAAGCAGGTGTTCTACTTATTGGTTTGAATGTTATCAATGAGTTTCCAAGGACTGGAAAATGAGTTTTGTTGCTGTATTGAGCACTTGGCAGCAGAGGGTAGTTGTTGGTGCGTGCTACATACAGAACAAGCTCTGCAAAGCCCCGGGCCATACTTGCACCACACTAACCCTCCTGCCCTCATGAAGTGTCCAGTCTACTTTGAGTGGGCGAGCTACAAGAGTGGTCAGCACAGGTGTTCTGGGAGGACAGATGAAGGACAGCTGTCCAGGCCTTGGGACTCGGAGAAGACACCCGGAAGAGATGTGTGAACTGAGATATTTATGAGGGAGCACTGGCCAGTGGGAAGTGGTGAGCTCGTTTGAATCCTGAATCGAACCAATTTATAACAATAACCATTGGTGAGTCCACAGAGGGACTTTGAACTCTGAACTGCCATGGTTCATTTTGTTTCATGTGATAATGGTATCGTGGTCATGTTTATCTTTTTTTTTTTTAAAAAAAGCCTTTTGTTTTGGGGATACATACTAAAATATTTATAGATAAAATGATACAATGCCTAGCATTTTCGGAAAATTGAGATGAGAAACAGGTCGGAGAAGACATGAACCAGAGCCTGGTTGATACTCGTTGAGGCTGGTAGGAGCTTCCAGACTTCTCTCTACTGCACTTCCAATTTGTCTGCATTTAAAGTTTTTTCATAATAAATGTAAAATATCTGGAAATTTAAGCAATAGAAGTTCGTGGAAGAGGCTCGGAGGTAGAACTGAAGCACTGGGTTCTGGGAGGTCGTTGGCTGTGCGAGTTGCCGTGTGAGCTGAGCTGATCCTGGAGGACAAAGAGCAGTTTCTCAGCCCAGAGGCTGAGGGGCATCCTTCTTGGGACATCCTGGGCCACGTTGGCAGCTGGGAGTGTGACGCTGTGGACACTGGGCTGTCAGTGAGTAGAACTTCAAAGTTGGCTGTGTTGTCTGAGTTTTTCTTTTGCCATTTTGAAAAATCAATTCTTTTGTTTATTTTGGTGTTGAATCCATTTGAAGTGGAAAGGGTGGAGGGAGGAAGCTAGTCACGAGAGTGCTTTACCTTGGTGTGCTTGGAGAAGCCATGTCCCTGACAGGCAAGTGAGTGGGCAGGAACTTCCAGGTCCAGCTTGCCCCGCCTCGCGCACCTCGGCCTGCCAGCCCTCTGGTCAGCACCACCAAGCCCCTTTGTGACTGGTAGCTGGCACGGGGGGCCAAGGAATCTGAAAGTCAGCCTGTGCTGCCCACATGTCCAGCGAGGATACCCCACTGCCAGGCTGCCAGTCACTAGGCTGGCCTGGGGCAACCAGAGCAGGTCCTACCTGTCAGCTGTAATGTAAGACTACCACCCCCAGCACCCAGCTCACAGGAAGGTGACAGAGAGAACGATATGAAAGGCCCCCGAGCACTGTGGCGTGGTTGGCAGCTGCTGTCGGCACTGCTGTTCCTGTTGAGTTGATTCTAACTCACTGCGCCCCCATGTGTGAAGAGCAGAACTGTGCCTTTCAGAATCAGCTTCCCAGGTCCAGTCTCCAGAGATGCCTCGGGATGGCTTCCAGCGCTAACATCTCGGCTAGTAGTCCAGCACTTAACGGTATGTGCCACCCAGAGAGTGTGACGTGCTGACAAAGAGCTGGAGGGGTTCAGTGCTGGGGCCGTTTCTTCATGAGATCTTTTGTGTATTAACTGCTCACGAGGGA